ATAGCATCAATAACTCACTCCTGAATAGATGATTCTCCAAGCTGCCACGAGGCATGAACTCGTAAACAAGAAGCCTGTGTTCATCCTCTAAGCAATAACCAATCAACTTTACTAGATTAGGATGGTATAACTGCCCCAGATAATTGATTTCTGTCTGAAATCAAATAAAAGATAAATGAATCAGCATATTCGGATTTTGGTTTGATTCCATCAAATTTGAGCATCTTTGAGAGAATAAATGATCAAGAACCGGACCATAGTCGATAAATTTGACAAATACAATTAACAACAACAAAAAACTAAGAGCATGTTTGTTTGTGCTTAAAAGTAAGTCAAGCTTACTTAAAGTAACTTCTCTTACCAATCATAATTTTAGAAGTAACTTTTAAGCACGGCTAAACATGCTGAGCGTAATTCCCAAGAAATTTTACATGAATCCTTTTCTCGTTTTGTTCAGTGCATTGCTACATCCACTACGAACTCTCCAAATCAATAAGTGAATTCAATATGTTAAATATTTAACTACTCGAAGCGGGGAAAGGTCAGACTCACCAGCCACTCCTTGTGACCTTGAAGACCTTCTTGGTTCAATCTTTTGACAGCAATAACCATTCCAGTCCCAGGTTTCGCAGCTTTAAACGTATGTTCATCAATCCATCCCTTAAAAACGCACCCAAAACCACCTTCCCCCAATACACTATCTGGACGGAAGTTCCGGGTGGCTGCTCTCAGATCAATAAACCCAAAACTTTTCAAATTCGATGAATCCAAAATTTCCCCCTCACCTCGAGGGGTCAATGGAATCGCAATCGATGAACTGCTGCTTGTGTCTTTCACATCAATGCCGACATATCTTGAATTTGATCCTGCAAACACATTCATTTCACATATTCAAACTCCATTAAATGCCTAAAAATGGTGAATCAGAAAGGCAAATTACAATTTATGATTTGGTACCTATGTTTTTCGTCAGTTTAGCCCAGTAATGGAGGAGGGTTATGGTAAAATCTTGATTCTTGACAAATCTTATAACATAAATCACAATACACAACAAATGTATCATTACTGTGTTCTCTATTAGATCCTAGACAAAAGCACACAATCCAAATGTCAACTATAGTTATTGATTTCATAATCTCACAAAATCATAAACTAAATCAGAATTAACCAAATCAAAACAGCTACAAACCTCCCTAAAAAAATAAAAAAATAATAATAAACCACAACATTTGGCAATGAATACTTCTAACTCAAGAAAAACTAGAATCTGATCAAGGAAAATTGAACAATTTGATTATACTAACCATTATCACGAGGGCTGTCTGCCCTTATTCTAAAACTGCAACAAGAACCCATTTATTGAATCCAAACCAAATGGTAGCAAACCCTTCTATTATCTTCAACAATGGAAGCAGACTGAGAATTCAATTGCTCAACCCCCAAACTCTTTTGATGACCATTAGTACACAAGCGTCCAAAATTCAACTACTGCCAAACTTGTTGAAACCCAAAAATGTGAACACGTAAAAAAAGATAAATATAAATATCTATATATACGTATAATATTTATAATAATGCGTTGATTTTTGGTGTCCCTTGTTGGCTTCACGAGAAGCAATATTTCAAAACCTCGAGATTTAAAAAAAGGTGAAAAAGGGTTGACTTTTTCTTGTCTTGTTTGTTCCTCTTAATAGTCATTCTAATATTTCTGCAACTTGTTTAAATTCATATGAATAAATCATACTGGCGAGATATGGGGAAGGTGGGTGTAGTAAATGGAGGAAGGACCATGACAGCCATAGCTTATCCTTTTTTATCCTCCTTTAGCACCTTCCACAAGAAGACAAAATTGCAATGGTGGGAGTCGCGGCCATTGGGTCAGTATGAATACTAGTCAACGGAACAAGAAGCTGTGAATTCTGATTAATTTATTAGATATAAATTATCATGTTAATAACTTATTTAAACATTTATGTTGGCTTAATGATTATTTTAACGCCGGCTGTCTGAGTTAGATGCTGATAATTAATTATTATTGTTATGAATTAAGCTTAAAGTCGCCGATATTCACGATCGCGACACATCTTTTACTCTTATGTTTACTAATTGAGTAATGTTATACTATCCCACTAAGATTACAATCTCAATTTAGGTGACGCTTGATGGTAGATTGAATAAAATATGGAATTAAATTATTCGTTTAATTTCACATATTATTTAATATCATGTAACGCCATCTAGATTGGAGTTCTAACCCCAATAGAACTAAATAGCATTACTGTTACTAATTACAGCCAAGTAACGCTAAAAAATATGTACCGAGTTTTGGTATCGTAGTCAAAAAAGGGGTAAATATATTGCTTTGGTAGTAGTTGTTATGTAAGTTGTCTATCGAAATAGTACTTCAAATTTTAACGTGTGATAAATGAGGTCCAAATGCAAGAAAGAATTACCGATTATAGTTGGACGAACGTGGGCCCCATTTATATTTCAAAATTGTTGTGTCTAGGTAAGCAATGGCTCGAGACATAAAGAAAGAATTAAAATCTGCATATTCTTTGACATGAGAAAAACTATTTATAGTAACTTTAAGTAAAATAACCAAGTCTTTGAAAAAATGAAGGTAGATTAATTAATTAAGCTACAAGACAATGGTGTTTTACTCAATGTTTACTAATTACAGCCAAGCAAGGTTCCTTTCAAGGAATACATGTACGGAAATTGGCGTTTTAGTCAAGAAACGGGGCTTTTTTGGTTTTTACAAGTTTACCTAAAACATGACGTTAGTTTTCGCCGATATAATTATAGATTTATGTTTTTGTGTAAAAATTTTATTCCATTTTTTTTTCTTTTTTTGTGAAATAGGGTCGTCTAATTTTCAAAACCAAGGACGAGAAAAACTTGAACGGATGACTTTTGTCTCCCGTAATACAATATTGAATCATTATATCTAAATGTTCATCATATTGAGAGAGAGATTCAATATTTTGCACCTTGTAATATGAATCTTGTGATAGGCGCGCGGACGGATAAAATTAAATTCCTGTTTTTGTCCCATTAATCATTTTTTATTAAACTCATTTTCAATCATACATTTTATTCAATAAAATAAATTTACATATAAACTCGAATTTTTTTACCTACTTTTTAATCACATATTTTTCAAAAAATTACTATTACAAAATTTATTTTAAAAAAAATGAGTTTCAAGTAGTCCTAAATATTATTTAAAAAAATATATATTTGTCAAGAATAGTATTTGATTATTTATACTATTTCAAAATTTCTTCTAGTAAAGAATCGAAGAGGGGAAAATATAAACGCGGAACCTTGTATGTAAGGTTTTGATCCACCTATGAAATTTACAATATTGGCGGGTCCATTGACAAAGCCATCACTTGGCTTTACAAAGAAAAAAGGCAACCATTCCTTCAACACCTCTATTTGCTTCTATATAGTTTAAAAATAAGTGCACTTTCTATTATTTTGCTGCTTGCACTAACTTGAAATTGTGCATTCGTGTCACTAACTAGAGTGCTATATATTTGAGACAAATTTTGGTGGCGTCCACTTCAACAAGAAATGGGATTGCTTAATATCTTAATCGTGATTTAAAGCGTACCAAATATATTATTTTAACGTTTTATTGTATTATCCAATCTACTTTATTAGATATTATATATTGCCAAGAATTAGTGTTGTTTTCTTCTTTAATCATGTTGACTTGCTTCCGATCAATTAATGAACTATTGCATATTTAATATATCACATTGAATAGGAAATTTAAAGTAGAAACGCTCATATACTATATACTGTAACGTATCAAACAATTACCAAGACATATTTGATATAATAGACGTCAATTCAATCGAACATAGATTTACATTGACGAGCATTTAATGGAATTCAATATAAAATTAACTAATATAAAGTAAAATGGACAAAAAGTAACCAACATGCAGTAATACTATCTAGATGTGGGAAAAGTTGGTGGGATATTGCTAAAATAAATGAATGAGCAAGCACAAGCAAATAAAGAGAAATTATCGGAAAAGAAAAAGAAAAGGAAAAAAACAAAAAAAAGGTGGTCATAAAAAATAATTAATCTGCAATTACAGATTTTTTTTTTTTTAACAAAATTGGTACAGAAAGACAACTGTCTTCCTGTGATTTGTTGTTGTCAAAAACTATTTTTGGCAATAGCAAATTACAAGAAAATAACTGTATTTTTGTACAAATTCTGTAGAAAAAATCTAAAATTATAGCATTGTTCTAATTTGACTGCTTTTGCTGAATAATATTCGTTTTTGACCTCATATTCTTAAGGCTTAGAAAATTCAAAAGTCAAAACATGAATTCAACTTTATGGGGGAAGAATTTGGGCTTTCACATGCAGCTTATCCATATAGTATTTAATTCATAATCTAAGTTCAATGAATCACAATGGAACAACATAAAAAAATGGGTAATGTTGGAATTGCTCTTGGCTTTAGAGCTGACTAGACCCATCAATGGACTACTTGAGCCAGGGATGGACCAAGAATATCAAAAGAAAAACATTCTAGATGATTCGATGATGATTTAATTGTGTGAAAATTTAAATTACCCTTAGTAATACCTTTTTAGGAGCATTTAATTCTCATTAATGTTTGATTTGAATATCCATTAATACTATGATGTGATGATTTAATTTGTGTACTATAAACATTGAGTATGCGTATATTATAATAGGTAATAAAATTTTTTTAAAAGTGAGCATAAACTGACTTACCATTAATAAACTCTAACTTTCTTACCATCTTCTCAATTCCTTCGTCAAGAAGAAATTACTATTGAATTTATCTTCATCTTCCCTTTTGAGAGGTTAGAATGTTAGAGATTGTTTATATTTTTATCTTATAACTTATTACTTTTAAAATGTTAAATACAAATATGATCATATTTATTTAAAATTTTCAAAATTATTTTTCATCGATTTGTTTGAATTTTTCAAATCTTTTGAAATAAAAATACCCAAATTATCTACAAAATGTTGTGAATGATTTTATATTTAATTAAGCATTGAGTTATTTATTTGGGAAAATCTTGTTATGTTTTGGTTGAGAATTGATAATCATCATTAATGGTATGAATAATTTCTTCCTATCTAATCCAATAAATATTTTGAAGGATTGCCACTTTATTGAGTCGCTGTGCAAATTATTTGAAAAGAAGAATTTTTCATTTTGTAGTACAATATTAATGACTACACTTAATGTTATGAAGAATTTGTTCCAATCACACACATATTAAAATGCTTCAAATCAGTTCTGATAGTTCAACAATCGAATTCGACATTTAAAAACTGTTAAGATAGACATTTCAACGATTGGTTTCACATTTTTTCTATTTATGGATTTAAATATTTGAATGTCCCACTTTTATACTATTAAATGTCGACATATTGATTGTGCAGAATTCTTACTATTGCAATCTTAATTTTCAGATATAAGTAATCATGTGAGATTCATGGTATCGCGTGAATGAAAGTTTGTTCATGTAGATGACAAATGGAAGTGGAGAGGGGACAAGATCACCTCGATTATAGTTTTGACAAGTATCTACCTAGCAGGACTTGTGTTTCGATTAAAGGGTGAATATAAACTTGAAGTTTGTTTTATTATACGCAGTGCTATTTATGGGAAATATTCTAAAGACAATTAAATTTGGTAAGTACATATTCACCACAAAACATAAATCAACTTAATGGTTGAATGACACCAGAAGTGATTTCTGAGCGTAGTAGACTTCATTAAAACGTTAAATGACACTTAAAGATGGAATATTAAATTCATTATACTCTTGCAATAACAATAGATATGAGTAAATATTTACAAATTAGACAATTGAATCACTCGTACAGATGACAATCGTGAAGCGGATCCGAAACAAAATTTATATAAAAAATGTCACAAAATATACGTATTATTCTATGTTCACACTTGATGAGCAAACAATTAACTAGACTAAACTAGTTATAGGCATTAGATGTGTAGAAATATTATTACAAGCACAGTAGTTTATTAGACAAAATATTTATACGTGCCGACAGTTCAACTTAGATCCCGACAGATTTTATGAGTAATTCTCGACTATTCATTACAATTTAGTGAAGTACACTGAAAATTTGAGCATTACGAAATTCGTATGCACACTATTATGTACATACGTTACCACGTGAATTCCTGATAGAAACTAGAAACCATAAATATGGTCGATCACCTAAGCATAAATTAATTGTAAAATTAACAAATTCAGCTATATTACTATCGAAGTTCCCCTAGAAGGACACAAAGTTTAAGTAACACCAAAATGAAGTAAAGCACATCACTACTAGGAGATGTAAAATAAATCTAAAATAAAAAGCTACACAAAATACTATCACGATTATTTTCCATTGTGAAATAAGAACAGTCAAAAGTACTATCGCGTCATCAACTACTCAAAACATTAGCTATACTATCCTTGGGAATATGTGACTATTTCTCCTACTTAACTCCTAGAATGTATCCAACATGTTGCTTGATTTAACGTTGCTTTACTCTCCTTCTGCTCCTCTTGTGAATCGATCATGGTCGATGTAGCAAGCACTCGAAGGTGTCTCGATCGTCGCCTTTTTGTGTTAACAGCGTTGTCACTTTGAACAGGTATGGTCGATGTCAATGGTACATCATTGCGTACTCCTATGCAAAAGTAGTTCGCATCATATTAGTTATCAAAATTTAATAATAGAATAATATAATAGTGACTACCAACATGCAAAGTACAACATGGAAATGAAACATTACTCTTTAACTAAACTTGCTTAGCGTATAACTTAAAAAAATTAACATCATATAACTTTTTCATTTCGAAACTTGTCATCCGCCTCCATTACGTCATAAGCATAGAGATCTTCGCGACCATCCAGGCATGTACCATTTGGGTCGACACTTTCGCACGAAACAACTAAGGACCTATTTGATTGGGGATATTTTTCATGGAAAATGGAAATTTCCAACTTTTTTGATGTTTGATTGCAAAAGTTTTCCGTTGAATTCACTTTCCATATTTTCCTCACACGTGTATTTTCCTTATTTTGGTGGAAGTGAGAATTGGTTTTCCATCTTCTTTTTAATTTTTTTTTCAGCAATGAGAACAAATTTTATCCACAATTGTAAAAAATTATATCCCTTTAATTGACAATTTTCATAAAAACAAAATGAAACGAACACCAAAATATAGATGATTTTCAGATTTATTTATTTATTTATTTATTTTGCAATGGAAACAAATTCGAAGAACAATTGTAGAAGTGGATATCCCTTAAATTGACAATTTGTATGAAAATTGTACCAATGCTAAGTTTTGTAGAAGTAATCTCATTCTCATTCTTCACCTTAGCATCACGAAACTTTCTCGACCAACCACTCCTAAATCCCCTCATCATGCGGTTAAACCCCACTTTGCCCCAAGGATATTAAAAAATGCCCATGTTGTCAACATCCGGCAATATACCGAGATCAACACCGACGTTATTATTCAGAGCAATCAATGCTCCCCCAATTGTTAAATTGAGATCAGCTCGGGATGTCAACAGATTTAAGAAAGCATTTTCTAGTACAGGTACATGAAGAAAGAAGCGAACGTAAAGAAAGAAACGGGTCAAATGATGATATGTCATACATTTTATTCATAGTACACGTATAGGAGTTGCTGAACAAATTTAGGCTTCTAGAACTTACTGTCGAGAAAAGTGACTCAACTGTTAAGAATGAAAGTTTATCTTTACAGATGGTTCAAGAATTGTAACGTTTGCATATCTTGAAGTAATAATGGTGTCAGATGATGATATGTCATACATCTTAACCCTTAAAACCACACGTAGAAGATAAGCTTAACAAAATTTGACTTACGAAACCAACCGTCAAGATAAGTGAATCAATTGTTGGAAAATTCAAACCTAATTATTGAGAACGACAGTTTATCTCGACAGATAATTCTATTACTGTCGGGATTGACATTTACATTGCACATTTATATTGGTTTTCCAAGATATGAAAGATCGGGTTATGACAAACATGATGAGTGTTATACTCATAGCTTCAAATAGCATCACTTTTCATGCACTTGGTCATAAGTTGTAAATGTAACTGTAAAGGCATTTTCAAGGATGAAAATACAATGAACCAAGACTTAAACAACATTCAAATAACCCCTCATAATCATATAAAGATAAACATGCAAGCTACAACATGTAAAATAGCCAAGCTTATTTGAGCGTTGTTGACTAGAACATGCCCTAGTTCAATCTTGGCTCATTTTACAAATTCAAAAGTTAAGCCAAAACTCAGTTTGCCTAGTAATAATCAAAAACCATCCAAACATTAAAATCTAGTTGAACGCAATAAAAACCTAGTATTAGTCAAACACAATGAAGGATAATTTAAATTTTATTTTAAATGTAAATTGGTCAAATGAAAAAAAAAATGAAGAAATCATGATTCTTACCTGTTCGATCCAAATGAAACGTTTGAAATATAATGATTATCAATGTCGCCGGATGATAACCACAACTCCAAATTCAAATCACCAATTCAATAATCGATCCTCTGAACATTATTTACATGAAAGAAGAGTGAAAAACATAGTTATAAGGAATAAATTCATAGATAAGTCACATAAACCCTAAAGTTAATATTTTCCTAGAACCAAAAAAATAGACAATAAAAATCGAAAAAATAAGGCATGCGGTACCAATCGATAGTAAAAAAATGCGGAGAATATAAAAGCAAAACACCCCCAGATGTGAAGAATCGGAAGATAAGAAGGCAAAAATGCGAGAGAGAAAAAAGGGAAAACTTGAAGAGATTAATAGTGGTCTTCCACAGCGTGGATTGATTAATGGTGATCGTCGATGGTTGTGAGATGTTGACGATTTGAATGAGAAAGAGGGGCGTGAGTTTAAGGGTTAGTGAGTATTTGAATGATAGATTGAGTTGCATTTTTTGTTTATATTTTTCCACTTTTCTTTCTCATTTTTTTTTTTTTTTCAAAATTTGGAAGTTGAGTTATTTGAATATAACATTTTTTCAATTTTTCATACAAGTTTTTTATGTAGTTAAATCTCATTTAATGAAGAACATTTAGGGTGTTTAAATTCTCGGAAGGGGTAAAAATATTCAAAAATAACGTTCTTGCAAATATTTTTAAAAAGTGACATTTTTTAAAATGTCAAGTTAAAAAGAGATATGGAGTGCAAATTTCTCTATAAAGATATTGAGGGTGAAAGTTTTAAAACGACAAGTCGACTATCATTTACTACCTTCCACATCACACAAATTGGCATGTGATAGAAGACTTTCTCGCTTAAATTGGCCCACTTAGTATCAAAGCAGGAAAATCAAAAGATTAGGATTACTTCGCATCTAACAAGACGACCACTTTTGAATAATGTACCAGTGGTGCTAGAGCACCCGTTTAAGTGGTAGTAGATCATAAGTCCTAATAAATGAACCATTATTATTTTATTTAATTAAGCCTATAATTTAATGCAACAAGTGTGTTACAATCAAAAATGGTGTTTAAGCACCAGCAATGCTAAATTGCATTACTCGTCACGTTTTGGTGTTCATTTTTTCATTTTCGGAACATCAAAAATCGATGCAGGCAAATCTTTCTATCAAACAGTTTGAAACACATCTCGTACGACAGAGCAAATTCACTCGAACAAAATTCCACACGCATTTATGGTACCTTTATCAAGGAAATAGTCACAATTTCCGAGCAGATTATCATTTTGCATATTTATTTAAACAAAGGCAACTTCAGTGTGCAGCCAATAGTATAAAAGCGCAAGTTAATCCAGGTAGGGTCAGGATAATGGTTATTCTATCTCCCCTAACAAAAATTCACCACCCGAGAGTGATACCGCACTCAATCACTTTTCTTCACCTCAGCAGACTTGATAATGTCGATGAATTCAGGCTGCAGAAAAAAAACTAGAAACAGGTAACATCATCTTTCCAATCTCTAACAATAGTCATCCTCTAATCTTTGGATAGATATATAGGCCCTGTTTGGCACCCATTTTTATCAAAATGCATTTTTCTCTCTCTTCTTTTCAACCACACATTCTTTATTAAAATAATATTACACATAAATCAAAAACTTTTTCTTATTTTTCAACCACACATTTCCCATCAATTTACTATTCAAAAATTCATTTTCACATAAAAATTTCTACCAAACACCCTCATAGTTAGAAACCCAACAAGCCAAACCCCAAGAGGAATAGTAGACATCATTACCTTAAGGGAAGCACCGCCAACTAAGAAGCCATCAACATCAGGATTTGCAGCCAATTCCTTGCAGTTGGCACCACTCACGGAACCTGCATCAGCAATTTATTTAGAACAAGCTGTGAATAAGTACAAACAAATTGGGAAAAGGCACGTTTATCATGCAATTTAACCAGGGCCATCGTTCAAGGGTACATGGCATCACAACAGTTCATTCACCTTAAACGAGGGCTATCAAACAATTTTAGACTGGCTATTAGGGACAGAATGTTGCCTTCTATTCATGAAACCCTTCTACAGAACCGGGTCCATCTTTCAATTTCAAGGCAAAATTGGAAGGTTCCAAAATATTCTTGTTTAAATATAGAATCTAATAAAGCTTGAATAAAAATAAAAACTAGAAAAACTAATAAAGCTAGCCAAAGACTAAAACAAAACATTACCTCCATAGATGATCCTAATTGATGCAGCAACTTCAGGGCTAACATTTGCATGAAGCCATTTCCTCAGTTCAACATGTACCTATAATCAGAAAGGTTCCCTTGCTGTTAGACTTGCAGCAAGATGAAGCTCTAGATATAATTATGTTATTATTAAAATTTGCAATGATGATCGGCAATAGTATGCCGGTATGCCCTGTGTGTGTATATTAGAGAGAAAGAGATGGATGGGTAGGCAGCCAAAAGATAAAGCCTGTGTTTGTCTCCCATTTCTTAAAACTCCTCTTTTTTTTCCCTTCCAAACTCATCTTCAACTACACAAGTCAAGAGACACACAACTTTTCAAACATCAACTGTTATCACTTAAAATCTCATTTTTATCCAAACCAAACAGGGGAAAACTTAACTAGAGATCCACATGGATATAATGTAAACCCACAATGATAATAAGAAAAATGCCATTTTATATAGAAATATATTTACTAATGGTACTGGCTTAGTCTCGGATGTGAAGTGGTCAAGTGAAATAATAGACCTCCTATTCATTGTACATATACGCACAGGGGAAGGAAGAAGGAAGCCGCTGGCACGGTAGGGAATCAAAGTGAAGGGCTGTGAGCTGCTGATGCGGACATCCATTTACTATTTATTTTCTTCCATTTACTATTTATTTTCTTTTTGGACTATTAGTTATATTCTATTTGGATTATTATTTATATTTCTGTTATTGGGCTTGTTAGTGGGTTTGGCCCAAGTCCTTCTCTTTAGCGTTTGTGTTCTGCTATTTATTTCTGTTTTGTTTCTCATTTGAGACAATTGATGAATTAAAGAATAGAATGCTTGTGTTGTTGCCTATGGCTTCCTCCTTCTCCCCTTTTCCTTGATTTCTACTTCTTCTCTGGTTTTCTCCCCCCTTTCTCTCCGGCCCTTTCTCCGGCCCTTTCCCCCTTCTTGCTGCCTTCTTCCTCTTCTCGCTGGAATTTTACTTGCTAGTTGTGCTATTTTGCTCTATTATTTACAAGCATCAGCACTATTAACTTGCATTTTTGGAAGGGAAGAAAAGAGAGAGAGAGAGAATTTCAAATTGATGTTTTAATCGTTGGTCCTTGATGCATATTGGTCTCTCTATTGCATTTCATTTAGGTAGTATTGCTTTGCATGTAGTTACATATTGATCATCTTGTCACTTCTAGCTCTAGTACCTTAAACATGAACCCCTCACAATTCGATGCACTCACCCGACAAATAGCGGCTATTCAAACTCAAACGACCGCTACTCTTGAAGAGAGTAAGGCCCTATCTGTTAGTTCGAAAAATTTTAAACACATCCCTCATTCGATTGATATTAATAATTTTAAGATGTCCCATAATAGACAACATCATCGACAAGGTAATCAAAAATACTTTCGACCCGATCGTAAGGATAGGGATAGGAATAGGGATCAGATTCGTGAGCGAGAACGAGATAATTTTGAAATTCTTACTCAATGGAATGCCCTTAAACAAGGAAATCAATTAGTGACTGTGTATATCGCGCAATTTGAGGAATTTCGAATCAAATGTCATTTAATTGAGGATGAGAGCACAATTTTGAGTAGGTTTAGCCAAGGTCTGAGAGATGATCTTAAGCGCGAGCTTTTCCTTCGAGGTGTCACTACTCTTGATCACGCTTACTCTTTAGCTCGAGATTATGAATTGATTATTAGTACTCCATATGAAAAGCGTGGTCATCGTCGCTCACCCATCTCATTAGCGTCGCCTCATCATAAGTCTATCATAAAACCGTCTCCGTCTAATATTCTTCCTATTTGGAAAAATAATTGTAAAGGTCGTGATAGTCCACAATCTCCTTTTCCATGTAGAAAGCATATTGACAATCATCCTTCGGTGTCATTGGCTCCAATTCCTCCCGTTAAGTCCCTTCTAGGACCACCCCCATCTGATATTCCTCCAATTTTGAAAAATAAGAGTAAAATTTTTGATAATCATCATTTGGCTTCATTAGCTCCACCTCCTCATGTTAAGTCCCTTCTAGGACCTCCCCCTTCTAATAGTTCTCCAATCTTGGAAAATCAGGGTAGAATTTCTGAAACTCCAAGGTCTTCTTCTCACTTGTTATGCGTCAACTGTAAAGACTTTGACCACATTTCTTCCAAATGTACTAATCGAACCTTAGTCATGAAAGAACGAAAGAATGTAATAGATATGTCATTAGAAGATCTAGTCTATGAACCTAAACTTGAAGATTTTGATGACTTGGATGATAGTGAGGACACTTNTGGTCTTTAGGTCTAAAACCCTTTGAAATTATTCTTGGTTGTCAACTTTTGAAACCTCTAGACCTTATTCTCATGCACCCACAAGCTTGTGTGTCTATATCAGTTGAGGTAGTTGTATCACATTTTGATAGCTTGCATATTGAGATCAATAAACAATTTGAAGCAAGTAAAGCATTATATAAACCTCAAGTTGATTGGCATAAACAATACTTTGAATTTAATATTAGGGATTATGTTATATTACAAGCGTGTAATGCTGGTCTTTTTAAAATTTCAAAGCATGTTGGTCAAAATGCCTATGTCAATGACCTTTTATCACATTATGACCACCACCCTATTTTATTTGTTACGGACTTCGATGCTTACAACGGCTATTTTAGCCCCTCTGATGACCCGTTTCTACTCCCACATGAGAATTCTCACACTGAATCTTTTGCCATGTCTGCTTCAATCCCACCTATCCCAGCACACAAAAATAAAATTGATGTTATTTTGGATGAACAGCTTGTGTTGACCAATAATAGAGAGATTCAGTGTTTTCTTGTTCGTTGGATGGATCGACTTCATTCTGACGGTACATAGATTCCCAAAGAGAGACTTCAGCGACGTGAGCCATATTTATTGGAGCTTTATAAGAGTCAGCAAAATTCTCACTCGCCTAAGTTATCTTGGTCAGCTCATCTTTTTGCGGGTAATTTGCAATTAGCATTGTCATCATTTGTGGAATTTCGATATTTGGTTCGTCAGAAAGATCGTCCCCCATGGCATGACTTGAAGCCTTTAGCATCAGATTCATTGCAACATTTTGATTTATCCACTCGACGGGGTCGAGTTTTTCTCCCACCCCGGAAGAGTTGATGCGGACATCCATTTACTATTTATTTTCTTTTTGGACTATTAGTTATATTCTATTTGGATTATTATTTATATTTCTGTTATTGGGCTTGTTAGTGGGTTTGGCTCAAGCCCTTCTCTTTAGGGTTTGTGTTTTGCTATTTATTTCTGTTTTGTTTCTCATTTGAGACAGTTGATGAATTAAAGAATAGAATGCTTGGGTTGTTGTCTATGGCTTCCTCCTTTTCCCCTTTTCCTTGATTTCTACTTATTCTCTGGTTTTCTCCCCCCTTCTCTCCGACCCTTTCTCCGGCCCTTTCCCCCTTCTTGCTGCCTTCTTCCTCTTCTCGTTGGAATTTTACTTGCTAGTTGTGCTATTTTGCTATTTCTAATTATTCTGCAGGAATCATCCCTCATCCTGCATCAGCTGCACCAGTCACTCAGCCTCCGGAAGGTTCTATCGGTGGTTACAAGTAGTTACAGATGGGGAGTTGGGTATTTTGGTTAGAAGCAATTGGCTAGTTGGTATTTCGGTAAGGAAAGAGTTGAAATTCAAGAATAAATAAGAGAAGGTTGCTTAGAGAAAGGGGGGAAATATAGGAGTCTTGTAGGAGAGAACCAACCTCTCAAAAGTTGGTACCATCCTTGCAATGTCCTTTTCAATTAATAAAGTACCACAAAGTGTTTCCTTTTCGTTTCCTTCTATTTCTTTCATTCAATACATACATGAAAGCATATTATACATTGGGTTTTGCTTTTCTACCAGCCAATGATAAAATGCCACTTGGGCATTATGGATACCCCGCAAACACCTATCAGTGACCAGTGTTCATTTTAACCTAACAATCTACAGGCATAAACTTCACAATCTATGCCTTTTAGTAGATTTGAGAAATAGATATTTCAATTTTCGTACATGTAATATATTGTATTAAAAAGGGAAAAATGATGCCGAACTTACTTCCTGAGCCTGAGCAGGAGTTGCAACCTTCCCAGTTCCAATAGCCCAGACGGGCTCATAAGCCAAAACAACATTAGACCAATCGGAAATCCGTTCTGCAATATGAACCAAAATGAAATTTAAGGTAATGACTTTTTGCATCAATTTTTAAACGCAAAAAATAAGCAGTGATAGTCTCCATAATGGATGCATGAAGAATAAGAGTACAAAGCAAGGAATCACAAGTAAAATGTAAGATATTTTTATACACAGCAATAGTTCATATAAACTAATACAGCAAAATACAAGAGAACGAATTAACAATGGTATCTAGTCGCCGAGATCTCAATAAATTTATGTAAAAGAAAACTATGGCAAGATCTGAATTTAGAAAAACAAATTCACTCTAAAACTTGTGCAAATAAGAACGACTTATGTACCAGCAATAGCCTTTGTTTGTGTAGCAACAACATCCATAGTTGATCCTGCTTCTCTCTGCTCAAGAGTCTCACCAATACATGCAATGACCTTGAGACCTTTAGAAAGAGCATATGCAACTTTATCTCCAACGAACTGAAATCAAAATGGAAGTAAGTTAATCATTGGATATAGAAATAACTCGGAACCCAGTAATCAACGTGTAGATTTCATATTGAAAAGGAAAATATAACTGGACAGTAAGTACCTCGTTTGATTCACCTAACAAAGCCCTCCTCTCAGAGTGACCAAGAATGACCCAAGGAATGTCCAAATTGACAAGCATCTCAGCACTGTGCACAGATAAGAGCAGTCAACTATAGCTTTATAGAATCCAAATTATTAGACTGAACACTGATCATTGCTCCTCCTCCAAAATACAAATTTGAAGAACAGATGTGAATGAATCTATATAACAAAGTATTAGATACTTTGTAAGACCTTGCAGAATGTAGAAAGAAGGCCTCTCAAAGTTCAAACATGAAACAGAAACAGTTTACCCAACTTACTTGTACTTTACGAAATGGCAAAACAGTGATTTTAAGAGCTAAATACATGGATTGCTAAGACGTGCAACTTTAAAGATCAATATAAGAAAACGTACCTAACCTCTCCAGTGAAAGCACCCCCTTTCTTTACCCAACAATTTTGGGCGGCGACATGGAATTCAGGTCGCAGTAAACTTTTAACAATAGGAAGAAACACGAATGGAGGGCTGACAACCACCTCTGCAAGAACAAAAAATTAGGAACAATGAAAACATCATATAGTAAGAAAATCTCCTTTGCACGAATCAAGCTGTTTCTCATTCGTAAAGCACAAGGGGAGAGGTGAGTGTTTAATTATCCATTTCTTCACGTGGAATTCTGAGTTTTTAATTGCATTTTAGAAAGGAAAAAATTGAAGCACTGCTATTCTCCAAGTCAAATTCTAGAACCCCAGTTTTACGCGCGCACGCATAAAAAGGCCAGTGTAATAGTATTTAACCAACAGTCCATCCTAAAGTTCAATGGAACAACTAAAAATGTAGGCATCAACATTTTTGAAAGTTCCAAAGAACTAAAAATACAGTCCATTTATGTGACTTGACTGACTTCATCTGTAGATTTTATTTTCGTTTTAGTAGGAGAAAAGAAAGGAAATCAATATTCCCAAGTTTTCGTTCCCTTTCTTCCTTACCTTCACTAAAATCCAGAATACGAATGGAGATATATTAAAAATAACAAAAACATAAAATACACTCACCCACAACATCTGGAGATGGAACTTGACCAGCATTGAGTGTTTCCACGATCTTCTTCACCTCTTCAATGGTCCCATTCTGCGGTAAAATTTCAACTTCATGGATAAATCGGCTTTTATATTTCAAATATCTATAAATTTTTTCGGGAGTTTGGTGAGAATTAAAATTAGAATTTTTAGTAGACCGTGATAGAAATTTTTGAAACGTGTTATTGAAATATTGTGGGACGATGAAAGATTGGGTTAATATTGATTATTTAACTTTTGACTTAGATTAAAATAAGATTTTAATCCAAATCAAACAGAAACTAGTTGATGTAACAGTGAGAACTTATGAAAATATATTTCAAAATTACAAGAGAGTCTTGGATCTATATTATAAAGCAGTGCTATCACACTCGATTAGCTATAGGAAGCAAAGAAAACAAAAACGGCATCATGATTTTATTCTTCAACTATATCATAAAAGTTTGCTCGCTATTAAACTCGAAGGAATTACTTTACGAGCTTTACTGAATTTTGATCGAGTCAATTCCATGATTATAAGTTCATTTCATATCGAACCAGACCGAAATAGGGTTATATACATTTTCAAGGTCGTTCAAGTCGAAAAACACACATACATACATAACCATATACAGCCTCTAAATCTTGTATAAATCAAACAGATCGGTAAATCGACGAATGAGATTCGTAATTATTGCACAGATTGTGAAAGGCAGAAGTGAAGATTAGAGGCTTACACATTTCCAGTTGCCGCCTACGAAGAATTTTCTGCCCATTTTCTCTACGAAGATTACGAGGATTGTTCAACGAGAATTAGAACAAAATGCTTTCACTTTGTGTGCTTAGCAATTGATCTTCACTGCGGGTCCGAGATTTATATGGATATATTCATTATTTACGGATCACGGCGAACTTGCGTTCGAATTGTCCATAATATCATCATCCATATATAATTACAGAATATTCCACGGGCTCTTTGGGGTTTTTAACGGAATCTTTCGTGTGCATGCTTGGGGTAATTTGGTAAATGGGGCTTGACTTTTTATTGTTTTTCCTTTTTTTGCCTTTTTCCTTTTTCTTTTCCCCAAAATTACATATATTCGTAACTCTTATTCAATTATACATTATTTCATAAAATAATATCATACATAAATTCAAAACTTTTTCTTATTTTTAAACATACATTTCTTTTAAAAATTCCACTATTCATATATATAGGGGCTAATCGTCAACGGAGCCACAAAGGATTATCTAAATTGATTCGTTTCTGCCGATAAGCTCTAATTGCATCATAGGAATTAGAAAAAAAGGGTTCTTTCGTATACTTATAGTTGAACTAAAAGAAAACTTTTGGATGAAATATTTACATTATGTAAAATATCTTAACTCTCAATAATTACATACAAGTCAATAGAACATAGAAAGGCAGGATGTCCATGACATGTACATGCCGGATGAACCAAAACCTCATTTTTGTTCCCAGTTCTATGGTTGGTGTGGTAGCAACTTCTTGTATGATAGTGGTAGTGGAGGAGAAGGTGGAGAAGAAAGAATATTTTTAAATTTTTAAATGTTTTCATTATGATTCATTAAAACATTTTGAAAATTTTGGGTTATGGAAGTAATTATTTATTTATTTATTTTTATTCAACATAGGACAATAAATTCTTCATTTTGCAAGAAAAATGAATCGAAAATGTTGTATTCCGCAACATTGGGTGATTTAGAGAGTTCGTCAACATTTACAACTTTTTTTATAAACGCATTTTTTTTTTAATAAATAGATAGACATAAATGTCAATAGTATTTATCAACCTCATAAAACACATGAATAAAGAGTTATTTGGATATTTATAAACATAAACCAAGCATTGACTAAAATTTTTACAAATATGTTAACAATTAACCTATCAATTAAATGAGTAGCTTACATGTTCGTTTGAGCTAATGTCATTGTCAAGTCTCTAAACTTCGAAACAGATTAAGAGCCCATTTGACAGATTTTTACTTTTTGTAGAAGAACATTCATTAAAATTCCATATTATCACATGATATACTTTCGAAAAATTATTTAGGCCATGTTTGAGTCATATTCTTTCAAAAATATACATTTTAAAATAATGATTTAATATCATTTCAATCATACATTTTTTAATAAAATAATATTACACGTAAATTCAAAACTTTTTCCTATTTTTTAATAATTCATTTTCCATAAATACCCCCGGCATTGTGAGGGGACTGTTAGCCTCTACGTAAAGGAGGATGTACCTCATGCTATGGTTGTTTAGTTAATTCCTTAAAATGAAAAAAAAGAAAAAAAAAAAAAAAGGAATTGAGCTTCACATACAGATAGGGATGTCAACGAGTCGAGTCGAGTCGAGCAGGCTCGCGAACTAAAATTTGAGGCTCAAGCTCGGCTTGGATAAAAGTGAGCTGGCTTTTTTCCGAGCCCAAGTGCTCGGCCAAAAAAATTTTGCTCGATCTGAGCTTTTGGCTCTGGCCTTTACGGGCCGAGCCGGATAGGCTCACTTTTTTCACCTCTTTTTTTTTTCTTTTTTAAATAAAAGGCAGTAGCCTGCTTCCTTAAGAGGCAGTCAGGTGTGCTGCCTGAAAAGGCAACCAGCTGCTGCTGCCTCTTAAGGCAGCATTTTGATATCCTTTTTTTTTTTTTTTACCCTTCTCAAGCTCGTGGGCTAGCTCGAGCTCGGCTCATCCTCCCAAAATGAGGCTCAAGCCGAGCTACGAGTAGCCCGAGTCGACGAGTCAAATTACAATCCCTACATACAAAAACTTGGTTCACAAGGAGTTGTTAGGCCCCACACTTAGAGGTTGGGCCCACAAGCGTTTAAAAGAAAAAGTGTGGGGCCCGCCCCACCTCCTCTATCAGCTGGTTCACAAGCCCCTGTACTCCCATCTTTTTCCCAAAAAAAAATCTCAATTTCCCTGTAAAGACGCCATTATATAAAATTTCCCGCCACCTCCCGAGAGTAATTAGGGTTTACACTTCACACTCGGTAAATTTAGCCTTTCGAATCATCTCAAAATTCATACATTGTGGTTGCTTTTCCTTTTGAATTCACTGCAGCCCATCACTAAGGAAGACGTATTTCAACCCTAAACACTTCTCAAATCGCAGAAATGTCCGCCTCATCAGACTCCCAGGCCTCCGCATTTTCGGCAGCCGAGGTACCATCTTTTACCCTATTACACAGATTCACCTCCTACTAATTGATACGTACCGAGTTAATGGTGTAAATTTTGTTTGTTCTGTTGTAAATTTGATGAATTAATTTAGAATTTCTTGTGAAAATTCAACATTGCAGTTGGAGTTTCTTGCAGAGGATGAAATTATTGAGATTGTACCAAATATGAGGATGGATCCCCTCAATTTCGTTTCTGTACGATTTCCATTTTGAGTGTTTTTTTAAAACATATTGACTGTCATATTCGAGCACAAAAATTGATTCTTACCTTCTTTTTTGATTAATTTCCAGGGGGATTTTGGTCCTTTTAGACCACAAATAGCAACGCAGGTGCCTCTGTGGTTAGCAGTTGCCTTGAAGAAAAGAGGCAAGTGCATGATTCGGCCCCCTGAGTGGATGGCTGTAGGTGAGGCATTTGAAAACAGAAGCTTTTTTCACAACACAGTGTTGGAAAACTTGATCCTAATAAAGGAATTGAGAAAAGACTAAATTTGCCCCCTCTATGATTGTTTTAATGTTTAAAAGGACTCACGGCAAATGATCTGTAGGATTCAAACAAGTCTTAGAAGAAGAAAGACACTAACGTTGCGTTTGATTGCAACCATGAAATTTGCATAGAAAGAAAATAAATTATAGACAATTCAATTGCCTAGAACTTATTTGTATGGAAATGATTAATTAAATGTGTTTGACTGATTTAATTTTCAACTTAAAAATGTTATATTTGTCTATTTTTTATTGGTAAGTAGATGAGAGATAAGCATATGTGAGAGAGAGAAAGAGAGACTAAATTATCTGAAAAATAAAAACTATCTAATCTTAAAGAAAATATTTTCCTTGTTTTAAGGAAAATATGATCATGCGCCCAATAGTAGAAAAATATTTTTCGTGAAAAAATTGTCAATCAAACAGTACAAAAGTAGGAAATTAGGTGAAAAATACATTTTTCATGAAAAATATTGGTAATCAAACTTACTCTAAGCACTTGTGTTTTCTCCTTAAAACTTGAAGATCACTCAAAAGGATTAATATGTAAAGAAACTTTTGTAAAGCTTTCTAGGAATGGAATGATTTCAATTGTTTGTGGTGTAATAATTGTGTAGAGGAATGAAATCTATCTCATATGTATGAATTCTCAATCATATTCATGAAAGATGTAGTTATTCATCAAATTGTGCTGAAAAACGAACTAGAAATATCAGACCCAACGGTCAAAAATTGGCCTAGGTGGTTGCCCAGTACAAAATCAAGCGATTGCCCAGGCCAAGGTTTTGGCCTTTGGTTATTGAAATCGTGGTTGGGCACTCACCTAGCTTTAAGCCTGGGGCGAGAATTTCTGCTCCGTTTTTCTTCTCGTTTTGTTTTCGGTATTTTCGTACTGTACACACTCATGTGGACTTATTATCATTCAAATATATTCATCATTATAAATTGAACACCAAATTACAACACTTAGTTCTCAGTTACACAATGATTGGTTAAGTCTTACAATTTATTTTTATTTTTTTGAACTAATTGGATAGTAGAATTTTTTGGGTAAAGAATTGAATGCAAACCCACCCGTATACTATTTAGATTCTCTTAGCCATTTTGCCTGCTTGAACTATGCTATACCCATGTATGCAAAATTTTCTGTACGTCCTTTTCTATATGTTTGAAAAGTTTAGCACTTTTAATTGACTTTGGTTTTTCGCTTAGTAAGTAACTTATACAGTTTCAGTAATTTGATTTATGCGAAGTTCTTCTACCCTAACTCTTCTCCTGCAATTTTTCTAACCAGTTCAATAAAATATTTAATTTCTCTCCATTTTGGAGTTATTTATATCTTCACTCATTGTGAAAGGGTCATCTTTCTGAATGAGAAAAGCTGTATTAATGCAGATTTTGAAAATGAATCTGCTTATCAACTTCATTTCGGGTCTTTGCTTTGTTTGTTTCAATTCCTAACGTCAAGTACAAATCTATAAGATACAGATTTCTTACTGATTTTGAATCCTGTTTTTTCCACCAGAAAAGTTAACACAAGTGCTGGAAGCAGAACGAGATTCTGAAAAGTTTCAGCCTCTACCATTTCATTATGTAGAAATATCAAGGCTTCTTTTTGATCAGTAAGTATTTTTACACCTTGTAAGTATGGTATTCTAGTTTATTCTAATTGGTCCTGATTCCTGTTTTTCATTGATATAGTGCCAGAGAAGACATTCCTGATGTATATATGGTTAGTCAAGTTGAATTCGTATATAGTTCTTTCTCGAGCACCTGATATCTTCTGGAATTTTGATGATTAATCTCCAAACAGGTAAGGTCTCTAATTGAGGACATCAAGGATGTGCGTTTTCACAAAATTGGAACTGGCCTGGAGATTATCTCGAAGGAACGTACTTATGCACTGAGAGTATGATTCTTCTATCCCTTGAAAATCTTCTATAGTGAACATGTCATAGGCTGTGTAGTTTCGATTTGTATGATGTAACCTAATATTCTTGAAAATGAATAGGATGGGAATTCTTCTAGAAGAAATTCAGAAGCAATTTATTCTCTGCCTAGATAGTATCATTTTCTTTATAATTCTTTTAAGTCCATAACATGGCAAAAAAGCAAAAGCAACCTGGCATCGAGGATCAATTTTGGTCGATCATTCCAAAATTTTGGTTTGATATAGCTACTAACTAGTGTTAGTCATTACTTACTTTGGATTCATCTTCGTTTCAATATAAGTCTAGTATCTTCATTACTGGGAAGTGGGAATTGTATGCAATTCAGTGGGATCATTTTTGCACATTTTACTGAGGTGTTTCGCTTTGTTGTCAAAGAAACTCACCCCATGGTAAAAGCTCATATTCCCGTTGATATCAAAATCTGTCAATGGTCAAAATATTTGAGGATCTCCATATGTTGTAATTCGGATTCTGGCCTGCAAAAGAATACATGTCTAAAGCAGCGCTGAGATCACCAGCAGAGCCCTTCGAACACTCGAGTCAATACAGAAGTTTGAATATATTGCACAGAAGAGAAATACAAGCGCATAATAGAATGCAAATACAAGGTGGTGTGTGTTCAAGATGATCTTTTACTTTTAGCAATGTCTCTTTATATAGGCATCTTCCTTGGACCATATTTTAGTGAGTTGTATAGACTTCCATCAATCAAGTCTTTTCTTGAAATATGTCCTTTGAATTTACCCCAATTAGGCTTCCATTGGTTTCCATATTCTTTTATCGGTGACATTTCCTTAAGAATTAATTGTCCACCACAATTTGTGTGCATTTATTTATGGCTTAACACTTCCAATAAATAAAAGCAAAGACTCAGGAAACAATTTTTGGCGCTCATTGAAAATGTCAGTAATGCTATACATACCCAACCCGTAGGAAATATTTATGAAGGTTTCTTTTATTCCCTATTTGGTTTTACTTTCTTTTTATTTATATTTTGTAATTAATGAACAAGCAAGGATTACGATTTGAAACATTTTAGGATAGTTGGTCCAGGACTAAGGGTCATATTTGACGATGTTACAGTTGGCTATACATTTACACTCTTTCTTTACTGAGTGCTAACCTCAACATTTTGCAGCTTAAAAATCTATCTGCTATGGAAGCAAATATAGTGCGTCCATTTGTTACAAGCGCTCTGGAGACGTTTTATAAGCTCAGCAGTCCTGAGATGATACAAGAATCAGACCACCTATCCAATAGACAACCTCAAGTAACCAATCGTGGGCCAAGAGTAAGTTGTTTCTTTTTTGCTTTCTGTCTCTTTTCTCACAGTTCCTTCTGATTCATAATTTATCAAACTATAACACTCATACCAAACAGGAGGAAATTTATTTCTTTCTGTCATTACTTATTTGCACACCGAAACTATACCCATTCCAAAAGTAACAAAAAACTTGTCTCAAGGTCAAACACATGGATCATATTAATTACCCCTCTTTCGAGGTGCAACTAATGGGGTCACAAGGAACTTTCTAGTTTATGGATTAGTGTATGGCAGGACTAGTGTTTAACAAAAGTCTCGATATTAACATTTCATTCTTGGTTTTCAGCGGCAACTGAAAGATAGATGAACAAAGAGATTTCAAATGCCTTTGCTATCATCTCAAATTACATCTCAGAGGTAGCTAGCTCACAAGGCTATCCCAGAGGTACTCCTAGGAATCTAATTTATTTCGGCAATGTTACTGTTTTCGTGGCTACATATTGTGAGAAATAATTATTGAGCAATATTCAGCTTCCGGTCAAATTTTACATCTTACAGTTAGCAAGTTCATAATGCTTTCCAGATGGTACTCCTATGTCTCAAATGTATTTCAGACAAATTTAGTATTGCCATTTCTAGTAATTGAAAGAAATTGTTAGAGGGCAATGCTTGGTTTCTGTTTAAAACTTCACAAGCCAGTGAATATCTTCATTGGAAAAAACCATGCCACTTCTCAGCTGCTTTTGATTGTGAGATGAACTGGTTTTCAGTTGGAAAATCTTGATCTCAAGGCCACTAACTTGTGTACATAATGATCCATAGCTACAATGTTGCACCATTTTGAGTTTTAATCCATACACTGCATCCTTATCAAATCTCCCAAAAAAAATTCATTGCATTTTGTGAAACATTGAAAGGTCTGTGCACAGGCCCTAGATTTAACAAATTTAAATAATATTTTTTGCTTGTTCTGCTAATAAAAACAAAGAAAATGAAAGACTCATTCAAAGCCTGGAGAACTAGGCCTGACATAGATTGCCTCTCTTGACTGATGTACTCTTTCAATTTTTTGGTTTTTCTATTTGAATCTTCTTTGTAATTGTCATCTTATAGTTATTCAATACCTGCAATTTTATTATTTTCCAACCAGAATTGCTGTGTTAGGGATTTAATCTCACATTGAATAAAGATGAAAATTTAGACCAACTTATAAGATTTTGATCTATTTCTTTCAACAAGGTTGACCTTTTAAAATGGAACTCCAAATTTTAACACTGCATTTATTCATTAATCAATAATCAATTGATTCTAACTTACATTTTCAATCACGTGTGTAATTTTCACTCTGCTCGGTTGAATTAATGTTCTTTTCTTCATCTTCCAAAGCAATTAATGATTTACTTTTAGATTCCGTTATCTTGTTGACATTTTGTACAGAACAATTGACAGATTGGCATCTACTTTATATTCAAAGTTTTAGCTCATATAGCTCATGGTAGAAACCCTCTTTCTGTAAGTTGATCAACATCAAACTAAGCAATTAACATGAAAGCAGCGGAGTAGGCTCTGGCAATTAGAGGTGTAAAGCTCATCTTCCCAACACCCTACATGGCCCATGAGCTGAGTCAGGCATCTTTGGGCCATTTTTTTAAAACATGATAGTGATCGTGGTCAGTTTCTTTTGCCTTTGAGGATTTTGATTTTTTAACCCCCCAGAAAACTTGTTATAAAATTATTGGTCCAAGTGAGTTGTGCCAATGCTGGTTTAGGCTATGGAAAATTTCATTCATTCTGCTGATGCTTGTGGTGCCCCAATACATCACGGCCCACATTACATCCCTGGTAGAAATATTGCCTTTTAAATTGACGATTTTGGTAGTTTTGATTGGTTTTTAACAATGTATTAAAAATCCGTTCGGTCCAGCAAGTTCAATCGGGATGCGGGATCAAAATCGGTTCGATTAGGCTTATAAAACCTCTAATTAAAAATCCATCCCAAAATCCTTTAAACTAGTTGGTTTTTGAAAAGCTCATGACTCGTTCTTGGTTTAGTTGGTTCAACTCATGTAAATGTATAATTTTTTGAATTTTTAAATGTATATATTTTTTAAATTTTTTTAAAAATTACTCGTTCGATTTCGATTCAACCTTTTGACACTTGACCCTTTACTTTTTTGGGTCGGTCTTCAGGTTGGTTTTCAAAACATTTGTTTTTAGTTCTCATTCAAGCATGCCAATCTAGAAAGTTAATTTTGTTGAAAATTTCAGATCCAAATGGAGGTTTAGCGGAAGGATAATTAATTACATTTCTTTTTCTTTCCGTCAAACAATAATTTTAATTATACATTCATAATTATTAGTCATTTATTATTGTAGGATTTACTACTATTTCTTTTTATAAATGATTTATAAATTTACCATAGGAGGCATTTAAAATTTTTTAGTGGGACCTAATGTGGTACAAAAGCTACATTAGTGATCTTTTTAGTAATTTCTTGTAAACTTATAGGATTATATCAAAACAAAAATAGTGGTTTATCGTCCTTTGTTGAGCAAATATAAAGCTTTTCTATGACACTGCCAAGAAAAAAAATTCCGTTTACTCAATCCATTGGCCCTCAAATTTTTATCAGATTAGTTTGTCAATCATGTTATAGGAACAAATAGTTTGACATAATGTCACGTGATATCATTGGATTGTTTTGAATATATAATCAGCTGTCTCATTCAATCTATCCTTGTCATGGCATTTTCGATCACTGCATCTGACGTGATTTTTCGGTTTAAGCAGCATTACTCTTAATTTGTAGGTTATACTAGAGAGAAACTTCAATAGGGTGAGCTACCTCGACAGGTGGCCCACCACACTCCCCCGAGGTGTGTGGGCCACCCGTCGAGGTGGAGCTTTGACGCACCCGCCCTACTAAAGTTTCATTCATTATACTGTGTACGATTAAACATAATTGCGCAACAATGATTTATAATGAAAATTATCGATTATATTAATAGTAGTTTATTTGGAGTTGACCTGTAAGATTCTGAAGTGGGGCTATCTGTCCAATAATTCCTCCCAACTACACGTTTCATTATTGGACAATAAGTAAAGTATTTAAGTACTATAAATCTCAACTATTACAAGTATATTAACAAAGTAAAGTTTTCGAATGAGTTTTGAGATGATTGGATTCTACTTTTAAGCTTTGTTGTCGATTGATTAGATTCTTGCTTGCTTGTCATGTAATAGATGAAGTTGCATATCACATGGGGTGTCTTTCTATTGTTTAAAATTTTATTTATAAATTATGCATCTCAATTATGTCTAAACATATGTTGTGAGGAACAATCGAGTGATAAAATGGACCACATTTTATCGAGATTAACAATAATATGAATAAAAAATGAAACATTGGAGACTGGCCAATTCACATGACATGGGAAGGCATCTCTACCAAATCTAATTTCTTATTAAAAATGAAATTCCTGTCATTAAGAACAAATATCTAATCGGAACACATGTATAAAAGTGTAAAAAACGATCGAGTATTCAAGGTATGAAATGACCGAACACGTTTGGAGGGATGGTTCATCTATAGCTTGTTTTTTCAATATTGTTAGAATTCATTTGATATGTATGGTTTTTTTCCTTTCAAGGAAAAAAATTGAAAATTCCATGGAGAGATATTTTTAGATCTTGACTTGAAAACTATTGTTTTATCTTCGATTTTCACAGACAATTGACCAATAAATTGGATATCTAAAGAACATAAGATCTAAGTCGCCATAAGATTGACAGATTTTCGTAAAGTAAGTGATGGGTTCGAAAAGCAATATCTCATAAAGTAAGGGGGACTATTTGATGCAAAACTCCTCTTTTTAATGAATCGATAGAGTCATGATACATTTTGAAATTACATGCAAGTTGAAAGATTTTAGGCCTCCTTGTAAGCTTAGGCTACAAGCAAGACCTATCAAGCAAAGGTTAATGTTGTGTAGTTGGAAGTTTTCGACAACTTTTTGTTAATAGCTAGTATAAGACAAGAGGTTATTAAGTAGAGCTAGAGGATTGCTTGCATCTCATTAAGCATGCCATGACTTAATATTCTCATCTTTATTTGATTCTTAACATTAAGCCTTATTAGTGAGAGTTTTGAGTGGTAGTAGTAGCTCCATCAGAGAAGCGCTTTAACAGGATTCGATTGAACGAATCAAATGTAAGATCCCAATCTCAATTATAATAATTGAAGTACTACTAATTTAGTTGAACTCGTGTTTCCATACAAAGTCTTTCATAATTGGCCCTTACCTGCCCTGTCCGTCCCTTATTCAATAAGTCTGTCAGTGGTTTAGCAATCTTTCCAGAGTTTCTCACAAATATCCTATAATACCAACTGCATAATCAGCAACAATGGGATTGAGACACGATACCTTGAACTAAGCCTAAGATGTTATGGTTTTATGATTTCTAGAGTAATTGGTCGAATTTGTCTGGTTCCTTGTAGTAGTTTGTCTGGATTTCATCCCGTAAGTTTAAACATCAAGCTTCTAATAGCTATTCATTATGCCTAACATTGAAGGGATTGTGATCGACCTTATTAATATCTCCAATCAATGACGGGGTTGATCAAGTCTTAATAGTTGGCTCTTGATTTTTTAGTTAGTTGGTGAGGCAATAGATTACTAGGATAATAATTAGCAGTTACTCCAAGAGGATGATCAGCTACATTGAGACGGAAACACAACCTAGACTCCTGAAGGAGACAACAATGAGGAATTTTTCGCAATGGTTGATGCCTACCTGCAACCTCGAACTATTTCTGGAGTATGATTGAATGTCAATATTGGCAAAGTCAATGGGGGTGTATCTGCATTTGACGAAGTCAGAGTGGACGAACATACTCGTGAAAGAAGTTATCTTTACTTGGAAATGAAAAAATCTGAACACTCGGTATTGTAAAACTATAGCTACTAAAGCACATGAACTCATTTTTCCGTCCCCTTGCGTATAGAATGATGAGCCCAAGTTTTGATAGATTCGAACGAAAGAGGAATATGGTTTTTTTTCTCGTTCCTTTTGAACCATTTTTACAGTTAGAAAAGATTTAGAAGATACTTCCAACATTATATCGATTAACAAGCATATCTTTTATAGCTACTTTATTTGTTTGAGAAACTCCATCCCTCTCTTCCCCTTCTCCCCCCCCCCCCCCCCCCCCCTCCCCCCC